TTGTGACTATACTCGAGACCTTAGAATTTATATCTCAAGGTGGGTGGCGCATTTACATCGTAGATATCTATGGGCTGTGAGCTCGTCCACCCATCTAAGCAATAAATAAATAAAAAATAACCTAAAACTAAAAAGACTTAGTAAGAATAAAGCAGCCCCACAAGTATATCATCGACATTTACAAATCGAGGTCTTGCATTTTAATAATAATGAAAAAAATGTATACGAAAGAACTATCGACAATAAAAAGAGCTCCGTTTTCATTTCTATGCTACGCTATTCGTTTGAGAACGATGAGGTATTGGAAAATCGGAGCCAAGCAAAACAAATAACACGCCATCCCGACATTACTGTATAAGAAATCAATTCCGCAGATATTGAACTAGTCAATCATAAAGGCCATTCGAAGGCATATTATGCTTACATTATGTTAAACAATTCCTGATAGAATACCATTATTTTGACGGCTCACTCACACATAATAATTCTATTATCATTTTATTGTTCTCCAAAAAATTATCTGTAAAAATTTTATTGATATATCTGTTTTGTTAGCACGATTTTTATCGGAATTGCTAGCCTGTTCGTAAATTGTTGGCATTGTTAATAGCCAGTGGCAAACCAATGCAGGATGAACTGTATGTCATTAGCCACTTAAATTTGATTCCGTGCAGGTATTAATTAACATTAAAAAAAGAACGGAGTAAGGTAATAATAAGATTTACATTTTCTCATAATATGACATTCAATTTCAAAGAACAATGGTCGATAACTTGATCAAGTCTTTACTTCAACTGCTTATCTAAATTCGTTGAATAATAATAATAATAACCTTGTGCGCGCCGACTCAGATAAAAAGACCAAATATCTGGACCTGGCGCGCGAGGTGACCGACATGTGGAGGGTGGTATCTACAGAAATAATCCCGGTAGTTGTATCGGTGAATGGTTTGGTCCCTAAAAGCCTCTCAAAACATCTCGAGAGGCTTGGTCTCAAGAAAAAGTCGGTGGTGTCCCAAATGCAAAAAGCAGCCTTGCTGGACAATGCCCGTATAGTTCGCCGGTTTCTCACCCAATAGTCCCTAACGCTCCGGCCGATTGTTGCCCACCTCGACGAAGTGTGTCCTGCCGTCTTCTCAGGCGAGGCAGTGTTCAATACACATAATAATAATAATCACATTGTGATACTGAACGTCTTGATAGCGACGTGAATAGCCAAAAATATATTGCAAGCTAAAATTATATTAATGTTAGTCAAATCATACGATTTATTGGTCAATGCGGTAATCACGACCCATTTGTAAGACGATTTAAAAAAAAATGTACCTATTAGATTATATTTCCCTTAAACGACTATTAAACCGGTAACACCCAGCTACGGCATAAAGCAACCCTAAAACAAAACATTTAGTGGCCACATTTCACTTGCCCTACGCTTTAACTAAACAATGTTCATTCGATAAACGACCTAACACTAATGTGATAAGAGCGCTTACAATTATAAGGTATGCATTTTCAAGTATGTTAATCTTTTGTTTTTGATGAGGTTTCTGTTATGGCCGCGATTCGTAGAATTAAATTAGTCACTTTTACTTTTTAGAGCGGCATTGGGTTTTAATTTGTGAAGTAAATTACTTAAGAGAAGAAAACAAACAGATGGTATTCCTTTTTCATGTTGCATGCACGATATACGTAAAAATTTAATTGTGTCGTTGTTAAAGAGAATACATTTTGCAATAAGTGAAATGAATGTATGCTGTTGTGCATTTCGGTTTGAAGGGTGGGGCAGCCGTTGTACTGTAAAAACTGATATTTTAGAACTCATCTCTCAAGGTGGGTGGCGGTATTTTTTGAGGATTTAAAATGTAACATTATAATTAACTTTAACATTATATAATGTATAATATTATAATATTATATAATAATAAAAACCCCCAAACAAATATGAGCTAACTTTTACGCTATCGAGAACGTGAAAAAACTCGCACTAAGCACACCAGTCTGAGAGTCATGAGTTTACCACATCAGGCAAATATTCGAGCAATGAAGAGTAATTTGCTCTTTTCATCCGTGTTTGTTATATTATGTAAATATTCAAATTTGTAAATAAAATTAAAAAATATTGTAAATAAAAAATGCTATGCAATATCTTTACCGCGGCAGTTCCCGAGTGCTAGTTCGGGTATTATGAGTTGCAATATTAAACATCAAGGAAGCGTTTCTAAAATAAATATAAGACTTTATGTAATAGTAGTCGATATTTTTATTTTTTATTGCCTAGATGTGTGGACGAGCTCACAGCCCACCTGGTGTTAAGTGGTTACTGGAACCCATAGACATCTACAACGTAAATGCGCCACACACCTTGAGGTATAAGTTCTGCCCTACCCTTCAAACCGAAACGCATTACTGCTTCACGGCAGAAATAAGCGGGGCGGTGGTACCTACCCGTGCGGACTCACAAGAGGTCCTACTACCAGTAACAATCCTAGTCCTGGTTTGGAGTCAGATTACCTTTATTAATATGTGAAAGAAAAAAAAACCGTTCAATTCTCTGTAACAAGCCTCGATGCTGTAATTAAACTGAATAATTTATTAGTGGAATCGTAAAGCAAGGCTATTGCTAAGTTAATTATTCAAGAATGAAAAGATGGTTACATTTTAAAATCGAATTTGGGCACTATCCATGGCGAAGAGCGCGTATTAGATAAGTTTCGTGACATTTCCACATTGTCACATATGACAGTGTCTGTATAGAGTAGTTATCACTTACGATCGGGTAATCAAAGCTTACTGGCGGTAGAACCTCTTGTGAGTCCGCGTGGGTAGGTACTACCGCCCCGCCTATTTCCGCCGTGAAGCAGTAATGCGTTTCGGTTCGAAGGGTGGGGTAGCCGTCGTAACTATACTGAGACCTTAGAACTTATATCTCGAGGTAGGTGGCGCTTTTACGTTGTAGATGTCTATGGGCTCCAGTAACCACTTAACATGAGGTGGGCTGTGAGCTCGTCCATCCATTTAAGCAATTAAAAAAAAAAGGTACCATTTGAAAAAAGTTTCACTCAAAAATATCAAACCATGAAGGTTATATGTCAATTCGAAGTACCTATTACAATAAAACGGCAATTTCATACTTTAACCCCGATTATAAGAAGGTTTTCAATAGTAGCTTTATATGCAAACCAATATAAATATGTATATGTACTATATAAATCTTAAAACACTAGTTAGGTAGTTACTGGTGGTAGGACCTTTTTGAGTCCGCACGGGTAGGTACCACCCTGCCTATTTCTTCCGTGAAGCAGTATTGCGTTTCGGTTTGAAGGGTGGGGCAGCCGTTGTAACTATACTGAGACCCTAAACCTTATATCTCAAGGTGGGTGGCGCATTTACGTTGTAGATGTTAATGGGCTCCAGTAACCACTTAACACTAGGTGGGCTGTGATTTCGTCCACCCATCTAAATAATAAAAAAAAGTCTAATTTGTAAATTTCTGTCATTAGATATTGTAAAATTAGGATCCTATAATACTTTAAAATTTACATATTCAGTATGTTTTCTCAGAGTTCTTTTTTCAAAGACTAAGACTGTTTTTGTATAATAATAATAATGGGTATCTTAGAAAATATAATATTTTTGTAGACTCTAATCGGGAACTTTTATTATAAGTTTTTTTTTCTTTCTGTACTTATTAACATATGTGATATCACGAGGTCATAAAGGAAATTTGTTTTGTTTATGTGATAACACAAAATGCTTGAAGGTGGTAGTAGTAGGCAGAGCTGTTTTACTATCACGATGACCCAGGATGACCTCCAAGCTATCCGCAAAGATGGCCCTTTCACGCTTAAACTTTAATTGCAATACATAATGAACATCGCGTATATGGTGGTGGTAGGACCTCTTGAGAGTCCGCACGGGTAGGTACCACCACCCTGCTTATTTCTGCCGTGAAGCAGTAATGCGTTTCGGTTTGAAGGGTGGGGCAGCCGTTGTAACTATACTTGAGACTTTCGAACTTGTATCTCAAGGTGGGTGGCGCATTTACGTTGTAGATGTCTATGGGCTCCAGTAACCACTTAACACCAGGTGGGCTATGAGCTCGTCCACCCATCGAAGCCATAAAAAAAAAAAATTTGCTACTTTAGGGATAGTCAATGAAATAATGGAAATGAAACTTAATTTCAAATGTAGCACGTTACAGTTTTGTATAAAACAAAGCGAGTGCATAATTCGTTAGAAGCGTAGAAAAAGAAATTCAAGTCAGTTTCGAATTTAAGATTTTTTTGTAATCCACAGTGGCAACTGATTTTCCGGTCGTTCCATCGAAAACTGGTTTAAAACTCCCCATAGACATCGGAAATACATAGAGTATATTTAGTATTCATTTAGTTTATTAATATCAAACTTCGTTTTCAGTTATGAATGAATGAATGATTCATTTTATTTCAGACGAGAACAAGTCCATATGTGTACATAGTATCATTGAAATATACTTAAAATTAACAAAGCCAATCAAATAAAAAAGATACATTTATTAAAAATAATTATCAGTTGAATACATTTCAAAATTTTCCATTCAACTTTTACTTACTTCGAACCAACCATTATTATTATTATTATTTAGTCCGCAAGTGAACCAATTATGTCACTTATGTCAAAATTTGCTTAAACTTTTTTTTGGGTTTACATAAATACCAGAAGTGCCTCTTCACTTAAAGACGAATTCAATGGAGTCATAAATAATAAAACACATTTCATATCATTTTAATTAGAAGAGTGTAAACTCCGTAGCTATCACTTTATAGCTTTAAAATTATTTTCTAAGGTACCCAAGAAATATTTCGTGTAGATTCCCAAAACTTTATGGCCATTTAAGTGCGCTAGAGTCAGAACTATTTTTTCAGAAACGAGAAAAATAAGCCAACTTAAAATATGAGTAAAGTTAAATAGGAATATAAATGGTTAAGACATAACACAAAGATGGCAGGAATTACATACCTTAAAGACTCTTCCTTCTCGCGACAGGAAATAGCTAAAAATCGTCAATCACTTACTAACACGGTAAGTTAATCAATAACCAATTTTCAAAACTATCTAAACAGTCACTTTTGTTATTGATTTTTCTAATTTTCAACTAAACAAATTCAATTTGATATTTTCACTTCCTAAACAGCTTCTTAATTCAAATTGCAGCAGAGCTTAAAACTTTTTTTGTTAAAATGAAAATTATCAGAACTATTAAATGTATTAAAAGTATTAATAAAACTGAATTTATGATTTCGTAAATTTAAAAGTTTCGGTCGCGTATGTAGTAGCCCTTTGGAGCGACACAAGTCATTCGCTCAACAGACTTGCCGCCACTAAACTTGTAACATATCACACGCATGCGCGAAGATATACCTACGTTCGAATACTTATTTTTAGTCTTCGCTGTTTCACCTGCATTTTCAATTCGGGTACATCAATCACTCGTACGCGAGAGCTGCACGGTTTTTCTTGTGTTCCTTAGAATTTAAATTATAGTTGACTAGCCGTACTCGCCCGCTTCGCTGGGCATTTAAAATTGACCTTATTATTTATTGTCATTATTATTAAGAAATCCAACACACATATAAATATTAGCCTATCCATTAAGTACATGTATTTTCTACATGGATGCCAAGTTTCAAGTCAATCGGATGTATGGTTCGGTAGTTATAAAGGAACATCCGAAAAAACTACTGTAGATTTATATATTAGTCTATACTATATTTGGTTGTGTGATGTTATGTGTTTCGGTTTTAAGGGCGGATTAGCCGTTGTACTATAGAACTAAGACTTAGCACTCGCGCTAAACATAAGCGGCGGCATTTCCGTAAGAAAATAAATAAAATAAAAAGTATACTAAACAGTAAAATCTCCTTATTCGCACTTCATTCATGCGTGTTTTCTTTATTCGCGTATTAAAAAAGACGACCCAATTCCTAAAGGTTTCTTTATTCGCGGATCTAATCGATACATCAGTACATGCACATTGTTAAAAACCATTCCAATATGAAGGTATCCAACGGAATATCCTTTGTAAAGGCGCTTTTCCATATTCACAGTTTCCGCATTAGCGGCATATTTACGGAACATATACCCCGCGAATAAAGAGCTTTTACAATATAAGTACATTTGCTAAGCTGCTTGTGAAAGTGTCTTTATTTGGATAAGTGGAACTTTCTTTTTTAACAGAACTTCACAGCTTTTCGGCTACGATTGTCTTGACCTTTTAATGACTCCAACTTTTTCCAAGCTCGGATACCTTTAGCTTTTACCGATTAAATTTATCATATGATATCTGACAAATAAGTACCCAATTTCAATAACCCCTTTGCGATTCATGAAAAGAAACACGCCGTGAAACTTTAAGAAATAAGTAAGATTTCGGTATTAAGCTAGACGTATCTCGCGATTTTGGCCGAGCGAATTTGTAATTCAGAAATAATATAACTCGTTGGATTTTCGCGAAATAAGCAGATGTTTGTCAGACATCTGGTCCATAAAAAAGGTAAAAAAACACCGAATATCCTTTATTTGTATTAGTATATAACCTAGATGATATAGAAAGCAGGACTTAATCCAAGGGTGTCTGATTAATGGAACCGCCGACCATCACGATTGGCGATCCGTCAAGATTGGATCCGGTAACTTTTATATAAAAAAAAAAGGGTTATAGCATATTGACTTGATGATGGAAAGATAAAGCAAAAACAATCCCAAGTCTCATGAATATTTTAAAGGAAAATTAAATACTGGCGCAATCTGGTTAGATTGTCACGGAACTAATCTTGTTAAAAAATCTTTTTTTTTTGGATGTCAAAATAAATTCGAGACAACATTTTTTGTAAACAAGCAAGTTTGGTTCAGTTAACGATTTTATTTTTCTTTTCTTTAAATTTATGTTTAAAACTAACCTTGTCTGAAAATACGTTATGTATGTTTTACTGGTGATAGAACCTCTTGTGAGTCCGCGCGGTAGGTACCTACCCCCGCGGAAAAATAGGCGGGATGGTGGTACCACCATCCCGCCTATTTTTGCCGTGAAGCAGTAATGCGTTTCAGTTTGAAGAGTGGGGCAGCCGTTGTAACTATAATTGAGACCTTAGAACTTATATCTCAAGGTGGATGGCGCAATCACGTTGTAGATGTCTATGGGTTCCAGTAACCACTCAACACCAGGTGGGCTGTGAGTTAGTCAAACCATCTCAGCAATAAAAATAAATTAAAACGCTATGTCTTTACCCTACCCTCCATATGAGCCGAGGCACTGTTTGAGATGATGTCGTGATTTCATTTCTACTATCGCATAACTCGCCACCAGCTCACTATATTTTTAGTATTTGGAACAGCTATGTTCGTCCACAATGCTTTCTCAGACATAGTATTTTCAAAATGAGATCAGCCTCTTGCTTTGCACTATGAATCAGTCTGCCAGCAAAATTGAGCAGTGCTGAACGAAATTACCAAAGGCGTAATTTTACCTTACCGTTGCCATGACAACGTGAAATCGAACTCCGCAAACAACGATTTCATCGCAAATTAATCCGCCCAACGATGTTATTGTTAACGAAAATCAATTTGTTTATATTGCTTAATGAACTGTATCTCGATAGGATACGCCGATGACGTTTCGATTTGTTGATCAACAAAGAATATCCGGATCCGGTCTGTATTCTTATTTATAGCCGTTGTACTGATTGTTTGACTTGTCCATGAAATTAAAAAAATATAAGAATGTTAAATTTTTTTTATTGCTCAGACGGGCGGACGAGCTAACAGCCGACCTGGTGTTAAGTGGTTACTGGAGTCCATAGACATCTACAACGTAAATGCGCCACCCAACTTGAGATATAATTTCTAAAGTCTCAAGTACAGTTACAACGGCTGCCCCACCCTTCAAACCGAAACGCATTACTGCTTCACGACAGAAATAGGCAGGGTGGTGGTACCTACCTACACGCGCGGACTCACAAGAGGTCCTACCACCAGTAATTACGCAAATTATAATTTTTCGGGTTTGATTTTTATTACATAATGTTATTCCTTCACCGTGGAAGTCAATCGTGAACATTTGTTGAGTACGTATTTCATTAGAAAAATTGGTACCCGCCTGAGATTCGAACACCGGTGCATCGCTCAACACGTATGCACCGGACGCCTTATCCTTTAGGTCACGACGACTTCAAAAGTTTTTTGGCAATCATAGCACGTGCTTACCAGAGGTATTTTGGGGTAACATTGTGCACGGTGAACCGACGGAAACTGGTAGCACATGCCTTAGAGAGAATAAGAAAAAGTTACCGCATCAGAACGTAAATACCTATACAATATAGCCAATAAAAAACACGTTAAAAGCAAATTAATTGCTAAGCTGAAAGACTTAATTGTAAGCCGCTTTCTTATGAACGTAAAGTAAAACTTCCCTGTCATAATTTTGCGTAGCGTGATTCGGTCAATGATGAAGTGCTATTACTTCAACATCAAACAAACACGTACCATTATTTCAAATTACAATGATCTTAAAAGCCCTTTCTGGATGATTTAAATTCTAAAGTCGTTGATTTTCCATTTAAAATAGCTTTCGATTGCTAAGTAATAAGTAATAGAAACGCGACGGTACCAACACAATATACGGGTCCAGTTAATTTAATTGAGTGTTCTCAGAGATTCCTTTCCGGAGCTTAGCAATTATTTATCTTAGTGTAACTGTATTAAGAGTGTTTCGATATTATGTCGACGACGATATATTTTAGTATGGATACAAACACAGAAACCTTACCGTGCTTCGCTGAAATTATCGCGTAATACACTTTGTATTCACTCTCTTTGCCTCTCTCTCTTTCTCTCTCTCTCTCTCTCACTTTTTCTCTATCTCTCTTTCTCTTAAGCACGGACTCATGCGCCGAAAATGACGTTGACGTGAGCTCACCTACTAGTTAAGGTTACGCTGAAATAGCCTCTTAAGGCTATCAGCTTAGGTAGGAAAAAAAAACGAAGGCAGTTAGTAATAGGATCTACTCTAAGCGAACGGATCGTGTGAAGCGAAGCGGAAGAAGTGAATTACGTATTGTAAAGTGTTGTATACATAGGCGGCACTGAAAATTTCGGGAATGAACAAAGTGACACAACATTACTATTTAACAATGTATTTATTGCTTTTCGAAGTATTCTCCGCGAAATTTGACACATTTTTCCATACGATGGAACCAATCATTGAAGCAACCATTCCATTCGGAAGTTGGGGTCTCCAAAATAGCCGTTTGTAGGCGTCCACAGCTTCTTCAGGTGATGAAAATCTGTGTCCTCGCAATTTATTCTTTATTTTAGGGAAAGTATAGAAATCATTAGGGCTTAGGTTGGGGCTGTACGGCGGATGGTCTAATAATTCTATGTTTTCTTGCTCTAAAAACTCTTTTGTTCTGTGCGCGGTGTGAGAACTCGCATTGTCGTGATGGAGGATGATGCGGCGGTTGCAGTTCTCTTTACGGAGTTCAGAAACGACCTGTGGCAAACAAATGCTAGCATACCATTCTGCATTAACCGTTCTTTGTNCGGTGTGAGAACTCGCATTGTCGTGATGGAGGATGATGCGGCGGTTGCAGTTCTCTTTACGGAGTTCAGAAACGACCTGTGGCAAACAAATGCTAGCATACCATTCTGCATTAACCGTTCTTTGTCCCTCAAGAGGAATAGTCGTAACATGGCCGGTTTTGGAGACAAACGTGGCCACCATTTTTTTTGCAACACTCCGAGAACGAACAATTTTTGTTGGCTTTAACTCATTTTCGAAAACCCAAACTCGTGACTGGTTTTTTGTTTCGGGTTCGTACGCGTATATCCAGGATTCGTCACCTGATACAATGTTGTATACAGCATTTGAGTTGAAAGTCATAGTCAAAGTGAAGTCATAGTCAAAGTGACTTCGAAAGTCATAATAAATCATCGCTCTTGAATTTTCTCGAGTAAATTCCATTTTCTCAACGACTAAACAAGTTTGACAAAACCTCGTGACAAGACCGAGAATCTTTTTTTAAATAAATAAATGGTATTC